GAACACTTTCGATGGCTATTTATCATCACCAACCACTACGGAACGTTAAAGCTCTATGCGCCCACAAAAACTCAGTAAAGAGCAAATCCAGCTCCACTGCATGCAAACCTTTAAAACCCATGGTTATGCAGGCACCAGTATGGATTTACTGGCAAAGTCTTGTGGGCTCAGTAAAGCGGCATTTTATTATTATTATCCCAATAAAGAAGCTTTGGTTTTAGATATTTTGCAAGTCAGCCAGCAATACTTAAACCATAAACTGTTCAGCATTTTGTGTGATACGCACTTAGAGTATTGCGTTCGCTTTGAACACTTGCACCAGCAAGCGGTCAGCTTTTTTAGTGCGGGTGTTCAAGGCTGCTTAGTCGGGATGCTGTCTTTGGAAATCCCGCATTTATCCGAACAAATTCATCTCAAAATTCAGTCTATTTTTCAAGATTGGGAGTTGGCATTGTTGCACTATTTTCAGCAAGTGATGCCTATCGCTCAAGCTGAGGTACTGGCCAAAATCAGTGTTGCCGATTATGAGGGGGCAATCTTAATGACACGCTTAAAACAGGATGACTTCTATCTAACTCATGTTGCAGAACGAATTCTTAAACAGTTATCCATGGCTGTGATGGACGCTGTAGAGGCTTAAGCAAGAGATCAATCCCGAGTACGATGGCTTTTTTTATGCTCGCGTCCACTACGGTCGATATGCGTATAAAACATGCCATAACGACTTACATAATATTCAAGCGACTGATCATAAAAGCTCCAAAAAATAGACCATTCATTTAAATCCATTTTGCGGATTTGTGTCTGGGTTTTCGCAGGCATTTTGACCAATAAGGTGCTTTGCATCAGCGTTGCATCTTCTTCAGCCGTGAGCAATATCGCTTGATCTAGAAATAGAGTCGCCACGTCATCGAACAGCTCTTGTTCATAAGCATCAACTTCAATAACACGCTCAACCTGAGGTGATATATTGGTATGCGTTGCCATTTGCACAGATGCTGCTTCCGATTCAACCGCTTTTTTTTGTCGCTTCAGAAAGCGGTGCTTTTTTTGAATTTTGATTACAATAATAGATGCCGCAACCAAAGCAATGAGTATGCAAATCATCAATAAAAATGTCGCCATGCTCTGCTCTCGTAACAAATATTCCCTTTTAAAATACAGCATTATCGCTCAAATAAACATCAAAATAATTAAAGCAGACTGCGTATGAACTCAAATGCTCAATTCGATGACTTGTAATTGGGTGTTGATTCTCAGACCAATTCAAGTGATTCAACACATATTCGCACAAACGTGAAAGGCATCACGATATGTGATTTTTCACTCATGCACCGCATCTAAAACGGTTTGCATGATCTGACTAATAATCACAATTGGGACATTATATAAAACAATGGCAAACTCTTCCCCACCATAGCGTGCTAAGTAGGCATTATGTGGCAGTACCGCACCAATCACTTTGACTAAATTTTGCAGGACTTCGTCGCCCTTTAAGTGCCCATAGTAATCATTATAATTTTTGAAATAATCGACATCCATCATGGCAAAAACCAAAGTTGCATGACTATCTTGTTGTGTTTCAACAAAGCGCTGCTGAATTTCTTGATTCAATGCACGCCGATTATAAGCACCTGTTAAGGCATCAATTTGAATTTGATATTCGAGTTTTTCATTTAAGTCATGTAACTGTGAAGTGCGCTGTTGCACTTTTTGGTCTAGAGAATCATTCAGTTCAATTAAATTATTATTTAAACGTTCGGTATGGTAAGTCTGATAGGCATAGTTACGCGATTGTTGGAACATCACCAAAAGTGCATACAGACTGGTAGAGATAAAAGAGAGATGAATCGAGTCAATCACATGTAGCGTTAGCAAAAAGTCATGAATGAACGATATACACAGCAATACCACAGCGTATAAATTGAGTTTCGAATATTTTTGCTTGGTCTTTAAAGTAATGTAAAAACCATAGGCAAAATTAAGCAAAATAATAATACTGAAGAATGCGCTATAAAAAGCCAGCTGCTCAAAAACGACTTGATCGGATAATAAGGTAATGACGATATTCAAGGTCAAAACCAACATCGAAATGGTATAAATCCAATGCTGTAAATAATGCTGATTAAGCAAATACATATAGCTCAAAAAGAACATGACCGCTAAATAGATAAATAAATATTCTAAGCGTATACCCCACAACCAGTTGATATCTAGGAAAGTCGTATAAGCATATGGCGCGGTAAAAAGATTATGTAATGCTAGGAATAAAATAAAAATACCAAAAACAAAAATACTTTTACTATTCCGTTCATCTGAACCACGGAACATCGAGAACATGGTGGTGAACATTCCTACACCAAACACCACGCCACAGATCATGGCGATACTCATCATCAGTTGCTGATAATGTCGATTAATCGTTTTAGCAATGCCAATATGCATGGGGCTTTCAAGGCCGCCGCGTAAATTGTTAAAGTTTGAGGCTTGTATACTTAAAGTAAAATAGGGGCCGTCAGGGACAAAATAAGCAATCCGCGGTGCATTTTCTGTTTGCTGTGCTCCCGCATTATCCGCGACATCCCCTAAACGAACTAAAAAATCGCCATTGAGATAAACCCGATAAGCACAATTTTGATTGGGGATATGAATGGCTAATCTTCGGCCAATAAATTCCTCCGGAATTTTGAAATGACCGACAAAAGTCCCATAACCCGTATTACTGCCGGTAAGTTCTTGAAACGAAATTGGCAGTTCGGTAGTTTTAGAAGGGAGTTTACGATTGGGCTGAGAAATCAGCTCTTGGTCATAATAAGACCATGTACCTTTTAAATAACTGGTGGTTTGTTCGGTGAATTGAATGTCATTGACATTTTTTTGGTGCAAATAATACTGCGTAGGCTCAGCTTCATATTGTGCCCACGTCGAAGGTATTAAACTTAAAACCAGCAAACAGCCTAAAATAAGCCCAAACAAAGACTGTTTGCTCAATGAGCTATACAAAAGCGACTCTTCCCTTAAATACGCTCTGCCTAAGAATTAATCTACAAATGTTTTTCTTAAAAACCAAGTGGTTTTTACAAATTAATCAAATACATCCTTGTGATTGACTAATTATCACTAATTTTGATTAATCACGTGTTTTTACATCATACAATTCAATTTCAAAAATCAAATTTGAATTGGCAGGAATAATATTGCCCATTTTACGCTCACCATAAGCCAAATGTGACGGCACGATGAGTTTACGTTTACCGCCCACTTTCATGCCCATAATACCTTGGTCCCAACCTTTAATGACACGGCCTGTCCCAATCACGGTTTCAAAGTAGTTTCCGCGGTCTAAAGATGAGTCAAACTTGGTTCCATCTTCTAACCAGCCCGTATAATGCGTGGTGATTAAAGCACCTTTAACCGCTTCTTTGCCTTCACCGACAACCAAATCAATAATTTCTAATTCTGCGCTCATGTTCTCGCTCCAACCTGTTCAATCAATAAATCTAGTTAAACTGCTTGTTTATTGCAATTGCGTCCACTCAATAATGGCTTGAGCATGGTCACCAATTAAGGTCCACTCACCATCCATCACATTCAACTGAAGTTGCATGGTACGCTCACACAGGGCTTGAACCGCTTCAGTACTTGCAGTCGACAACTGCCAGATTTCTACATTGTTCAATGTCTTCAACTTACTGTTGCGCTTATACCATTCATCGACCGCTGTGCCATAAGTGACAATCGCCACTTGCTTACAACGTGCACTGGCTTTTTTCACTTTATCTTCGTCTGGGCTGCCCACTTCAATCCATTTCACCAACTGACCCGTGAGGTCTTTTTCCCACAGCGCAGGTTCATTGGTTTCAAATAAATCTTTGGTAAACTCTAAAGCTTCATCCGCAAAACGTGCAAACGCTAACAAACGCACCATCAAACGCTCAATGGTTTCTGAAGGATGCAATGCCAAAGTCAGTTGATAGTCCCCATATTGGTGGACATCCATATTGGCAATATTCAAATCTGCCTTATAAATTGTAGCTTTAAGCGCCATACATACCATCCTCAAATTTGCCGACTAGCATATAAGATTTCGGCTTTTTTTGCTTAAAACAATTTAAGTCATTGCTCAATGCGGCATGCAAAAAGTGCACTTTCAAACCTTATCCAATCTCTTTCGTTTTGAACAATCAATTCAACTCGGTTATCAATCCCTTCTTCAACATCTTGATAGTTAAATTGTTCAGGATTGAAATTAAATGCCTTCCACCCCTGATTGGTATGGAAAATTCCTTTAATCCGTCGCCAATCTTGCTGTTCACAAAGTAAATCTAATAAATCGTAAAAGTCAAAAACCCAACGCTTCGGCATTTTCCAACCTGCAACACTATAACCTTGCGCCGTTTCTACATAGTGATACGGCAACTGTTTAATCTCAGGAAAATCTTGTTGAGTCGCTTTCAACTGTTGCTGAATGTTCAGTAAAGGCTGCTTGAATCGTTTTGTTCCGATGTACTCAAAATCGATTTGCGTAAGCTCAATCTTGCCCTGCTCTGCCATCAGCCACTGCTGAGCATAAGGCTGATATTCGGTTTGCAGTTTTTCAAGAGCATCTTGATCTGCTTTTTGCATATGAGCTTGATGCGAAACCACCACAATCTGCGCCGCTTTTAATTGATCCTGATAGAGATTTTGTGCTGTCCATGCATGATCATGTAAACGCGAACCATCCAGCACGGTGATCGGCGCACGCATGTGCAGGGTCGAGTGCCAATGTGGCTCGGTCAGTTGCTCTAGTAACTGTGCTGGATGTCCCAAGCCTGTGGGTTCAATAAACAGCCGATCAGGCTTTTGTTCTGAGAGCAAACGAGACAGTGCAATTTGCATCGGTAGTTGGCTGCTACAACATAAACAACCACCGAGTAATTCTTTCACCGCATAGCCTTCCGTTTGTGGCATGAGCTGTTGATCTACGCCAATTTGCCCAAACTCATTCATCAGTACCGCCCAAACTTCATGTTCAGGTTTCTGACCTAACAAATGCATGAGCAAAGTGGTTTTACCCGCACCAAGAAAGCCCGAAATAATATGCGTAGGAACCGCATGCGGCATCGACATCAGTTTCAAAATTTTATACCTAGCATGGAATATGATAAAAACAGCACAATAAAATAAGCCATCATCTTAATTTAAATAACCAATTTTCTCATCTCAAATCCATGGCATCGAACACTCAGCATTCAATTGACTGACATTTCATTCATCGATACCCGTATTAGACAAACTTCCTTACATTTTACTCAATACTGAAATTAGGGTTTCGCACTTAATTCTCATGCTTTGTACAGTTTATGTGAATTTTCAAACATTTAAATTGCTCATTAATTCTTCATTTCCTCTCAATCTATTCACAAAAAACTTCTACTTGTTACTTAAAGCTCACTATTTTTTCATCATCTGTAGTTTTAGGTAATGTCCACTTTTCACATTGTTGCTTCGATTGAACCGCAG